GCTTGTGCAATGTCTGGTCTCGTACAAATCATGGCATACATAAGGCTTCCCACCGCTGATGCATACGGCACTCGAGACATTTCCATCCTCTCTGCTTCGTTGCTAGGACTCATACTTGAGGATAATTTGTAATTGACAGGAAGTGGGGTCGAAATTGGCTTACAGTCTTGCATGTTGAAGCGCCGCAAGACTTTCAATAAATAATTCTTCTGAGAAAGCCAAATCCTCCTGTTTTTTCTGTCTCGGTGAATTTGCATCCCTAAAATCTTGTTTGCTGGTCCCAAGTCCTTCATATCAAACTCCCTAGCCAATTGTGCCTTTAATTCTTGGATCTGATCTTTGTTGGGGCCTACCACCAACATGTCATCCACATACAACAGCAAGATGATGAAATCATTGTCATCAAACCTATTGTAGTACGTACAATGGTCTGAACTCAGTCTGTTGTAACCAAGGCTAATAATGAAGGAATCAAATCTCTTATACCAACACCTTGGCGCCTGCTTTAAACCGTACAGAGATTTGGTCAACCTACAAACCAAGTTTTCTTTTCCTTGTTCTTTAAAGCCTTCTGGTTGGAGCATATATATTTCTTCTTGGAGTTCCCCATGAAGAAAAGCAGTCTTTACATCAAGTTGCTCAAGATGTAAATTAAATGCAGCACACATAGCCAGAACAACTCTGATTGTGGTTAATCGGACAACTGGCGAGAATATCTCGTTAAAATCAATGCCCTCTTTCTGAGCATATCCCTTAACCACCAATCTTGCACGATATCTCTCCACTTGATCATTGCCATCACGTTTGATCTTATAGACCCATTTGCAACCAATGGCTTTTCGACCTTTTGGAAGATCAACAAGTTCCCATGTTTTATTTCTATGTAAGGCCTCTATTTCTTCATGCATTGCTGCCATCCACTGAGAAACATCAGAACTCCTCAACGCCTCTTGAAAGGTTGATGGTTCTCCTTCTTCAGTTAAGAGACAGTACGCATCATGACTTGCCATAACATAGTCTGAATGCCAAGATGGTTTCTTCGTCTGACGTGTTGTTCGTCGAACATCTCCATCATTGTCCTCATTTGGTTCTTGTTCATCGTGCTCTTGTTCTGCTTCAGAGGTGTCATCTTCTTTAGATTTTCCTCCTATCTCCACTATACTGGTGTCTTTGATAGTGCTGTCATTTTCCTGCTCCTTTTGCAGTTCAGTTTCTGCAAACACTACATCCCTGCTAACAACAACCTTGCGGGCAGTGGGATCCCACAAGCGATACCCCTTAACATTGTCAGCATAACCCAAGAATATACATTTCCTGGATTTTGGGTCCAGCTTTGTTCTTTCTTGGGAGTTGTACATCACGTACACCGGACATCCAAACACATGTAATGAAGAATAATTTGATGGTTTTCCATTCCACATCTCCATTGGTGTCTTCAAACCAATTGCTGTTGATGGTGAGCGATTGATCAAATAACAAGCAGTTTTGACTGCTTCTGCCCAGAAAGACTTGGCTAATCCTGCAGTTCTCAACATAGCTCTTGTCCTTTCTAGAAGAGTTCGATTCATCCGCTCTGCTACCCCATTCTGCTGAGGTGTATGAGCAACTGTAAATTGCCTCTTGATACCCTCTTGCTTGCAGAATGCCAGAAAATCACCATCTATATATTCTCCTCCATTATCTGTCCTCAAGCACTTAATCCTTTTTCCAGTATCAAGTTCCACCTGTGCTTTAAATTCCTTGAATACTGGGAACACATCTGACTTCTTCTTGATTGGGTACACCCACAATCTCCGGGAATAATCATCAATAAATGATACAAAATATTTTGCTCCTCCCATGGAAATTTCTGGTGATTCCCAGACATCAGAATGGATCAAGTCAAGTATGTGTTTGCTCCTTGTAGTTACTTTGGCAAATTGTAATCTATGTTGCTTGCTTGTCACACAGTGCTCACAAAATGGTAAGGTTACCATTTTAAGCCCTGACAAGAGATTACGTTCCGCAAGAATTTTCAGGCCTCGCTCTGACATATGTCCTAGTCTACGATGCCACATCATCGTTGCCTCTTCTTGACTTATTGCTGCAACTGATGCATCTGCTTCTTGCAACGTTTCTCCCAAAAGCAAGTATAGATTTGATGTGATCTTCTCAGCTTTCATCACCACCAAATTGCCTTTAACTACCTTCAAGATTCCACCTTCAACGTGGATCTTGCACTTGAGATCATCTAGTTGCCCAATGGACAATAGATTCTTTTTCAAGCCCTTCACATGTCGTACCCCTTGAATTGTACGAATAGTACCATCATACATTTTTAATTTGATAGTACCAACTCCAGCAATTTCCAAAGCATGATCATTTCCCATAAATACGGATCCTCCTGAGATTGATTCATAAGTGCAAAACCAATCTCTATTTGGAGTCATGTGCCAGGTTGCACCTGAATCCAATATCCAACATTCATGGAGTTGTTTTTCGCCTCTGGAACTTATTGCTTCACTGTACAAGATTTCTCCATCTTCTTGGGTACTAGCAACACAACCTTGAGAGGTTGACGCTTCAGAATTCTTCCCTCCTCCACTCTTCTTGTGCCAACAATCTTTCTTCATGTGCCCTCTCATGCCACAATTATAGCATTTGAGGTTCTTCCTTCCTCGAGATTTTGATCTACCATGATTTTGACTCCCACTGGAGCCACGTTCCATTGATCTTCCTCTCATCATCGTCAAAGCTTCTGCTTGCTTTGAACTTTCCAGTCTGTCTTCCTTATTCTTTCGCCTGGACTCTTCTTCAAGAATAGCTCCGGCAACATCCTCAAAGGATAGACGACCAACAACATTATTGTTTGTTATGTTGATGATGAGTTGATCATATGAATCTGGTAAACTCTGAAGTAGAAGCTCCGCACGTTCATTTTCCACTATGTTGAAATCAGCTGTTGAAAGCTGAGCAAATAGCGTATTCAGATTGTTGATGTGGTCCGTCACTGCTGTGGACTCACTCATTCGAAGAGTGTAGAGTTTCCTCTTTAAGAATATTCTGGTGTGAAGTGACTTGACCTCGTATAATTTTACGAGCGTGTCCCAAATCTCCTTTGCAGTTGTCTTCTCTGCTATGCTCGACAAAACTGAATCAGCCATTGCTAAGTGCAAATTGGCAACAGCATTGTCATCCATTTCTCTCCACTTTTCATCAGTAATATCTGATGGCCTGCCTTCAATTGCTTTAAGACAGTTGTCTTTTCTCAAAATTGCTCTTATCTTCAATTTCCACAGGGAAAAATTGTTCCCGTTGAACTTCTCTATCTCAAACTTTGCTGCCATAATTTCTTCTATTAAACCGACTTAAGTAACTTCCACTAGAATAGTACCGCCTACTGGAACAATGATAAAATCCAGTAACAAGAATAATTCTTTTCTGATGTGACTGATCAGACAATACTGCAGCCACAGAGCATACTAAGAATTTTCTCCGATACTATACCAATGTACACCACAGCGGAATAATAAACAACCTCCTGGCTCTGATACCACTGTTAGGTCCAGAGTAGGCTTAATAGTTACTCACAGCTAAAATAAGAGATGAGTAAAAAAGAGACAAGGGAGAAAATAACCACAGTAAAAATATTATTTACTGAAAGGGAGGAAATTACAACACTTCTCTCTCTATAACTTACTCCTTTGAATTAGGAGACTACTACTACCGAGAACAGATCTCAAGGTGTATAAGAGAGGAAGAGAGAAGAGAAGAAGATTTGGGATGAAAATTATGATTTTCAGCTTCCCTATTTATAGGAAAGTCCCAATGGCATTTTCGTAATTTTTCCTAAACTTTTAATATTATTTTATTATCATGTGGGACCCGCCGCTAATTAAAAATTCAAAAAATCACCGAAAGTATTTCGGTGCTGGCCGCCTGCCACAGCTGCCCACAGCTGTCTAACATTCCATGCCCCCAAAAGCATGCTACCACATTCATCCATGCCAAACTCGTTTGTAAGTTAGCCTTATATAGCAGTTATGTGTTCTAGATAGCAGATTTGATCAATTCCAAATCTAAAAGGTGCATGCATTAGTTCTCTAATGAGGCAAGGTCTTTTGACTAGGCTTAAACCTATAATCTCCCAAAACTACCATTAGATGCTTAGCTGCTGTATGATTGTTGTAGGCCTCGTAAAGAACCATACGGAATCGCTGCTAGCAATAACTCAGTCATGTGGCTGCAGCCAATAATTTGACAGCTTCATTCACTGTCCTCATCTCCCAGAATACTAGTTCCCGAATACTGACATACTACTGTACTATGTAAACATAAGTGGTCCACTCCTACGTTCCACAGAAACATAAATAGTGGTGATATGCCAATGGGATCTTTTGAGATTAGCTTTACTCTGCTCTATACTTTGGCTCGTGCATAATAAATAGTGCACAGGTCTTATTATGGCACCCTGGTTGTAATAGACTGGTAAGGTTGTGTTAGGGAATAATTAGTTTGACTAAAATCAAGCAATGAACCATAAACCAGATTGATCCACATATGGAGCTTTGCCCCACCCACCATCACTGCAAATGCCCCACCTCCACCGCTGTGATAACAGATAACCTCTCTTACATTTAATCCAAACTACCACCTTTAACGGAGATTTGGTGTCATTCAGGTAAATATTTTTTTTTCCTCAAACAAATAGAAGTATATATCTCATGGAACGTTTTTCTCTTCTATCAGCTATGCTCTCCTCGGGGTATATTCTTAAGGAGAGAGAAGTTCTAGTGAAGCAAAGCGGCTTTCATGAATCAATCAATACCTAAAGAGACCTGTTGTTACTTACATTAAGGCTCTATAAACTCAAACTAATATCACAATATCTGATTGCACAACAGCACAGAGATTCACTCTGCATTAACATTGTTATAACGAAGAGTAAGCACAGTTTCTCTTGTTACTTAAAATTCACTTAGGTCTCATTAATTTGAGAATGAGACCCACCAAATCAGAAATGAGATGTATATATTTAATCTGACTCGCATCAATTTGACTTCCACCCAATATAAAAAACTAGGTTGGAAATAGAGTACATGATACAGTGCTGCAAGCATTTCTCTTGTTACAACAAAAATTTTTTTTTTTATTATTTGTTAAAAATCACAAATTTCAGTAAGTCTCAGACGCACAAAATTTGTAATTTGTAATAGATTATAATAAACAAGAACTTTGTAAGACAACAGTAGGTGCGGTTGAGAAGCTAATTAGGAGCGAGAGTGCATTCAGCAATTTTCTCCCAAGATTTGAGCGTTCTATCTTCAGTGTCGGTTTTGTACAAAGCAAGGCGATTAATCGGAAAAGTCAAGCCAGCGAGTGAGTCATCGATAGCATTAGCCCTCTCTTGAGCCTTCCGCTTCTGTTGATCCGTCAAATCTCCGTAGAGAAGACTGAGGTGCGGCATGTACGCTGCAAAAAATGCAAAGGAATCATCAACATTCGCAAACGAAAGGGGAAAAGGAAAAGGAAGAGATAGCGTTAAGGAGAACTGACGAGTGGAATTGGCGTAACCGAAGCGGGTGCAGCAGTACGCGCTGGTCTCGAGAATGTGAGGGTCGGGGCGGAGGAGGAGGTAGACGCACTGGTAGAAGAAGGTGCCGGTGGCGACGCCGTCGACGGTCACGTGGAAGGGCCTTAGGGCTTGGCACGCCGACCGGAGCTTGGCGAGGGCGTCGTCGGGGGTGAGTTTGATGGCGCCGACCACCGTGATGTGGGGATGGAAAGAGGGCCCGCCGAATTCGGATCGGAGGGCGGTCATGAGGTTGGTGCATCTGCTGCCCACGTCTTCCGGTGGAATCGCCCACACTGAATACACCGCCTCACTTCCCATCTTCTCAATTCTCAATTCACTCAACCTTGATTGGGATTAGGAATTTAAAAGCTTAACCAGTGCCAGTCGCATATGCTCTGCATATACTCGCCTCATATTTTTATTCGGCTAAAATTTTATAATATTAAAGTTTTTTAATTTGATTTCATTTTAATTTTTGATTTTAATTTAATCTTAATTTATTTTAAAAATTTTAATGTGAGATTTCTGTCCAAATTTTATAAATGGTATTAAAGGTTCGTGAGAATCACGCATGTGATTCCAAATCACGAGTGTGATTCTCACGACTTAGGAACCACTTGAGATCAAAAAGTGTGAAAAGAAGTGGTAAGAATCATTGTTACGAGAATTACGACCGTGATTCTTTCGGACCTTTAACGTCATTTGTGAAATTTAGACAGAAATTTCCAGTTGAAAATTTTAAACTAAATTAAAATTAAAAATTAAAGTAAGACTAAATTAGGGTTTTAACCTTTTTATTTTCATCATATATACATATAATAATCTAAATAGTATTATTAGTTTCTTTTTCTTTCTATCATGTATTTTCCCCTTTTTTTTAGACGATACTTGATCTAAATATAAGTATGTAACTGAAAATTAAACTTTATATATATTTTTAAATTATAATTTGAAATTTTAAAACAATTACAAATCAATTAAGTTGAATATTTAAATTAAATTAAAACATTTTTCATAATTTTTAAAATAATTTAAATATTTTATATGACTTGTGATTACTCTGAATTATAATACGAGATTTAATATGTATATTATGTGTATAATTTTTACTAATTCCTTACTAAAAAAATTATACCATTTATCTTTTTTTTTTCCTTCTCAATTTGATGGTGTAAAACCATATCTTCATTTTGATCAATTTTGTGTAGGATTGTTACCAAGGATTAATTTTTAAACAACTATCTCATTAGTCTTTATGTTTAAAATTAGGAGTGTAAATAAGTTTAACTATATGTGAATTATTTGGATTTGACTCATAGTTAACTTGTTTGTTTAATTAAATGTGTTTGTGGATAAATATTTTATCATGCCTAATGCAAAGATTTGCTTGCGCAAAAGCAACGTTAAGCAATGCCACAAAGCCTATTTAGCACTTGTGTAAAGTGAACAAAGACCACTATGAACTATCTGTTGAGATGCAAGTAAAGTCTCACATCGTTCAAATAAGAGGATGATCATGGTTTATATACACACCATTGGTTGAGAGGCCTTTTGGGTGATGTCCAAAAGCAAAATCGTGAGAGCTTGAGCCCAAAGCGGACAATATCTCACTAATGTGAAGACATGTGTATGTGTGGTAACCCCCCAGTGCTCAACAAGTGCGGTATCAGAGCCGATGGTCTGATCAGGTGACTGGCTCGACGAGTATGATAGCTGGCAGGTGGATCCAAGTTTGGGATTCCTTATGTCGAAAGTCTTCCTAATTGTGGGTCCATGTGGAATAGAGGCTTCCTGGTAACATGGAAGGTTATGAGGCGTGTCCCGCTATCATGAGGGAAGTCATGATGGAGCGGTTGTGCAAGCACTCTGAGCGTGAGTGAGCTCTGTGGGGCCACCATTGAGCCCAAAGTGGACAATATCTCACCAATGTAGAGACATGTGTATGTGTGGTAACCCCCTCGGTGCCTAACACTATCACCCTCATTGTTGTAAATATGCACCCGATGTGACACTAGTTCATAGAAATCTTGTAGCATGTGTGAAAATTGCATAAGTTCGACACTTCTAACTCACTCCAATGAGTTTAAAGATCAATTGAAATATAAACCTACTTTATTATACTATTAATTACTCAAACTCAACATCAATTTCACATAACAATACAATTAACATCAATTTTCATTGTGCTCTATAAATCTAGAGTTTCTTACCAAAACTGCAGTCAATTCACAAATAATTTAGTCCAAGCACAATTTCATGTCACATATAACATAATGATCAACCATATAACACATATGAATCATAAAAAACACAAATTCTCATTGTACATATTAAATAATGATTTCTCTCATAGATCACAAGCAAATAATGGGATTGAAGTCAATCCTACTACCCAAAATATAACTCACACCCTAAAACAAAATTACTCACTTTCTCCTTATCTCGATGAACATTAGAAGAAGGATGCACAACTCTGAGATGATCTTTAATGACTTTTGGTAGGCAAACTTCAATTTAGAAAAAAGGAACATAAGTGTAAAACTTGAAAATTAACACTTTCTTTTTCAAAACTTCACGTTTTTTTTTTTGGATAATCATAATATTGGTACGAAGTATCCACTATCAAAAGTAGTGATTAATTTCCCCTAAGAATTGTCCGTGCACACAAAGTGAGTATTCTCCTTCCGACAAAATTTATTTTAAGCATGCTTGACATGAGGTAATTTAGGGATGGGTGACTTTCTGGGAAGTTTGTGGGGTTTGTGGGGTTAATCTTTGATCCTAAAAACATACGAATATCTCAAAAAGGGTTACCCAGAGCTCTGATTGGTGAAGGGTTTTGACCAACGAGGAGTTGCATGAAGTGTCTTGGGGTGATGTGTTATTTAGTATAATTTTTTAAAAATATTATCAATAATACCAACGGATAAAATCCGTGGGTAAAATCTGTAGGTAATTACCCGCGGATTTTAATCTGTCAGAAAGTTACCCATGGATTATAATCCGTCGATAAATGTTTCAGACAAGCAATTTTTTGACAGATTATTGTCTGTCAGAAATGAAGTGTTACCCACGGATTTTTTGGATTATCCACGGATTTTGATCGTCTATAATTTCAAAAATTCTTGTAGTGAGACTTTAAATTTTTTTTTGGGTAATCATAATATTGGTACGAAGTATCCACCATCAAAAGTAGTGATTAATTTCCGCTAAGAATTGTCCGTGCACACAAGACGAGTATTCTCCTTCCAACAAAATTTATTTTATACACAAGATCAAAATTCAAACTTTAAACAACTTGACTAAGGGGCACAAGCCGCTATCAATTGTGTCAACCAATGTTGATCAAAACTTCACTTTTTAAACTAACACTTTTTCCCCTTAAATAAATAAAACATGATTAATTATAAATAAATCCAAAAAGTACAAAAACAATTATAAAACACATATATGAAATAATTATTTTACAAAAATTTTCTCAAACTTTATTAATTAAAACAATTACAATTATTTTAAAAGCTTTAGAATTATTTTATAAACTCATTTTATTAATTAAAATATTCTTTTAATAATTTATAAAACTTAAGATGTCTATATTGAACATCTTTTAAAAGTTAGAGAACCAAATTAGATCATTTTAAAATAGTGAAACTAAATCGAATATTTCATAAATATAGGAGCTAAATTAAACAAAAAATTATTCAACATTTTTTTCTCAAGATAAATTTAAATTTTCTTTTACTTATTCAATAAATTATTTTATTAGATAACCATTTCATTTTGTAATATATGTATTTTTTTTTAAAAAAAATTTAAGTACTCATCTTATTGTCATTCATGATAAGAAGATCCAAATTTATCTAGATATTTTTTTTTATAGAATTTTTATTATTTAAGTTGATCCTATTATTTTGAAAGTATTCAATTTAGTCATACTATTTTTAAGATGTTTAATTTGGTCCTCTAATTTAATATTTATAATCAATAAGATATAATTTTTTATTTACTAAATTATAAAAATATAATAGTAAAATAAAATAAAATAAATTAATTTTACATATCACATATTAAACATATTTTTCTATTAATAATTAATTATCTACTATCGAGAAAATTATTAAATATTATATTTTCCTTGTCTGTCTTCCAACTATAAAAACTACTTTTCAGACACTTTCCCTCGCTCAAGCACAAGTTTCAATCTTTACTCAGTCTCTTTGCCAACCAATTCTTGCCTCCAATCCCAATTCTAAAATCACATTTTTCTTCTTCTTCTTCTGGGTATTGTTAGAAGAAACCAAAGCTTGGGTCTTTTCAAGAACCTCTGAATCTTTTCCTTCCAAGAAGATATAGCCAACGAGGGATGTTTTCGTGCATTGCAAGTCTAGTTTCGTCGTGCCTGAACTCTGCTCCCGTTATCAGCGATGATGAATCTTCTTCTTCCACTTCTGCAGACCCTCTTCTGTGGTGTAGAGACCTTGAGAGGCATTCTTGTGGCGAAGTCTCCTTTGCTGTGGTTCAAGCCAATGATATAATTGAGGATCATAGCCAGGTTGAGATTGGCACTGGTGCCCTCTTTGTTGGGGTTTATGATGGCCATGGTGGTTCTGAAGCCTCCAGCTTCATCAAAGAACACCTCTTCCATCACCTAATGAGTGAGTCTTTTGAGTTTCTTTGGATGTTTCTGGTTTCTAAAACTGAGTGGAATTCAGTTTGCTTTCTTGATGCTTTTCTTTTGGCTTTTTCTTCCATCTGCTACTTTTCTTTTGAATCTTTGAATTTTTTTTTTTTTTTTTTTTTTACTCTGCATATCGCGAATGTTGGTGACTCTCGTGCCGTAATTGCTTCCACAGGTAGATGTAACAAGATAAAAGCTGAGCAGTTGTCTATAGAGCACAATGCTAGTAGGCAAGATATTAGAGAAGAACTCAGGGCTTTGCATCCGCAAGATCCACACATTGTAGTTGTCAACCGTGGATCATGGCGCGTTAAAGGCATCATCCAGGTTTTGTTTTACAATTTTACCTTTAGAAAGTGTTTGTTAGTAGTTTATGTTGCATTTGCCTCTTTTAAAAAATAACTCATACTTACATATAACAGTTTTACGCCCCTTGGATTGTTTATGGAGCTTTTTACATATTTTCTTACATTTTTCATGTCATCTTAAAGAGTCCAAGCAATGCAATTTTTCCTGTAGTCTTCATAATGAGTGACTAGGAACTATTTGTCTCCTTTTTTTGTAGTGCATATTATGTCATCATTTGATGGGTGGACGGTTTGTGATTTGTGACATTGCTCTTCATCTTTTGTGGACATCTTCCTCTAGTACATGATAATTGACCATGCTTGTTGCAAAATCATCAAATGTTAAATGTATATGTTTATATCGCGATGCATTCTCTAAATTTTATATCAAATGTAATAGGTTCTGTTACAACTCACTATATTATATTAGATGATTGTCTTTGGACTCATTTGAGTTAGTGGAAAATATAACTAATTGATTAGGGTGTACCCTTCTTAGCTTTGTCAAAATTAGCTTTCTAGAAAGTTGTCTCTAAATTCTATTATATGCTAAAATTATCAGGTCTTTCTATTTATGCAAGCCATATTTCATTGCTGCTTTCATTTCTGTTCACTTCTAAGCTAGTCATTTTTTTTTTTTTTTTTTTCTGTAATTAGTTTTTAAATTATTAATGACATTTTGTTAGCAATAGCAACCATATTCTAATCAACAGAATAAAATTCAGGTATCCAGATCCATAGGAGATGCATATTTGAAGAATCCGCAATCCTATATGGATTCATCATCCCCACCGTTCCCCTTGACTGAATCTCTTACCCAACCGGTGCTAACAGCAGAACCATCCCTATCTTCAAGAGTTTTGCAACCCCGTGACAAATTCCTTATATTTGCATCTGATGGACTTTGGGAACACCTGACAAATCAGCAAGCAGTCGAGATTGTTCATAGGAATCCACGAAATGTATGCTTTTTGTACTTGTCCTTTCTTCCATTTTTTTCATCTATTATCTGTCCTTGTGAAAAGGTTCTAACTTTATTCTTATGCTATATGCTGTGCATTTGTTCAAAAAACAAACTCCAGGGAATTGCAAGAAAACTTGTTAAGGCTGCTCTAAAGGTGGCAGCTCATAAAAGGAATGTGGAATATAAGGAGCTTCTGAAGATTGAGAAAGGGATCAGACGGCCTTATCATGATGATATCACTGTGATTGTTGTCTTCATAGATCATGATTTGCTTGAGCATATAGTTAATGAACCAGAGTTTCATTGGCTACACTGAACTATCAAATTTTAATGGGTATCCAGGGGTTTATGTGATACAAGGATTATTCTTTCTAGAACTATCAAAGAACTTGATTGCCTCTGCCTTATTTTGGTTCAAAAGAAAAATAAGAATCTAACATTACATTTGTACACAGTTTTGCAACATCCAATTGTTGTTCATTTTGAGCATTTCTTGGCACCTATCAAGGTTCTCCTCCCCACTCTTGGTTTAAATATTTAATGATATTTTCAATTAAAGTTAATAGGCTGAAGAATGATTTAACTCTAATCACTAAAAGTTAATAGCATTGAAAGAAATATTAGGAACACTCTACTTGCAGTATAGGATCAAGCATGATCCACTTCCAACACTAGGTTTCATTACATTTAAAAAATGATAAAAGAAAAGCAGGTGGAAGCTAATTATAAAAAATAAAAATGCACTTATTTCATTTAGGTTTAAATACCTTTTTGATTCTTATAATTTCATTTACTTTTCTTTCTAGTTTTTATAGTTAAAAGTGTTCCCTTTTAGTTCTTAATGTTTATTTTCTATTTTATTAATGACGTTTGTGTTGTGATTACGTGACAAAAATCACTTTAATGTATATTTTTAACCAATTGCAATTCTCACCTTACTTTAGGAATGTATGAAAATGAAGATAAAGAAATGTTAAAAGAAGTGGAAATAGAACCAAATGTCCAAAGGCAAGAGGTAGAATACAAAGTTCAACATGGAATTCTGGAAAACTACAGTTCTTTGAGCAAATTTTCCACTTTTATTACAGGAATTGCTGCTTGCAGAAAAATCCAAATCTCCACATGGTCCAAAAATCATTGCTCTTTTGCAAAAGCCAATCTCGCAATTCCAAGATAAATGCAAACCTTTATTTTCTCACCACCAATTTTTATTCCTTATCTGGTAATTGATAATCATATTAGACCTTTATCTCTCTCAATGTTCACTCTTTTGAGTTGTCACCAGTAACTATAGAGTCTTGCGGTCTATACTTGTACCCCTTTGAAACGAACAAATATGCAAAGAAGTTGATCAAGATTAATATGGCAAGGAACAAGTAGAATAGATTCAAGTTGTTTGTTAATATTGTTCCCCGCTAACTAGCCTCCACTTGCAGTAATATTCTTGGTGGGCATCGTTCATAGCTTGCACCAATATGGAACTTAGAAAATATCCAAGAGCCATAGCACCATAGGAAGCAAGTTGAAGTGGATTTAAGCCCTTTTGATGCCTCTGAATATAAAACTCAAGAAGTCCAACATAGGTAAACAAGTCAACTTTACGCCAAATACAAAGTACTGAAAAGAAAGCTAGAATATACTCAATGGCAATGGTTGTTTCAGTGGCAACGCATCAAGCATGTTGTTGTCTCTAGCAACTCCTTTCCTTTTTGTGGTTGCTGAAATTGCTATGGAGATTGAGGTAAATATTAGGCCAACTCCTGTGCGCTGCAATTTTGTAATGCAAGTGGCAATGCAGGTGAATTTAACTAGAAGAAAGCCACACAAATGGCATTATAGAAAAGGATTGTGATGATTAAGAAGGCAAATGGGATATTGGTAGAAATACTGAAATTTTTGGTGAGCCTGGTGTCCATGGTGTAGCCTTGCCTTATAGAGATCTGCTTAGGATTTTGGGCAAGTGAAGATGGGAAGTCAAGGGGTAAGCAAGATAGTTGATATCAGAGAAATTTGGTTGAAAACTAATATCGGATGCAAGTTACACTTGAAGAATGTCAAACACATCCCTAACATGTGCCTTAGGGTTTAGGCTTAATGAATATGATGTGGTTTAGACATTCTTCAAGCTAAGGCACATGTTAGGGATGTGTTTGACATTCTTCAAG